GGTTTAAGAGTTATCTTTGGCCTGTTAGGAAACTGGAAAGTGAAGATACAAATTTCACCAGATCCTAGAGTAAATGCCCTTAAGCTAATCTCTGCTGACTGATGGCGGTCAAAGTTTGCATGGACACGAAAGAAGAGAGCAGTGGAATACCGTTGCCTTGCCAAGTCAAAGGTGACCTGCTAGCCCACAGGGCAAATGGCACTGCTCAGCAGCATTGCCCAATCCCAGTGTAAAATGCCATGAGGCAGAGTCCAAAGCTAGCCTGTCTAGTCCCTGAAGGCAGACGTGCAGCTGCGTCTCACATGGCACTCTTTGACCCTACCAACAGATGGTCCTTGCAATGCTGCTGGAGCAGTGACTTTGGCCACTGAGGCCAAATCAGCCTGTCTCTTCAGGTCCCACACACCACCAAATGTCCTGGGGAAAGGAGAGTGCTGGGGACACCATGGGGATGTACCAGATGCTGGAACAACACTTTCAGGGCAGATCCACACAGAGGTTTCTGAGGAAAACACATCAATGCCCTTAAGAGGGTCACCTCCTCCTTGCTTGGGCACAGAAGGGGTGGGATGAGTAGCATGTACCACTGGGGAAGAAGCTGTGAGTGGATTTGTGAGAGATTTTCCTTATGTGGCCTCCTACACCACAGACCAGCTTCCCTATTTGCTCTATCTGGCAGGCTCATGGGCCAGGGACTTTGTGCCGTCACCCAAAGCACCACATGCTCCGCAGGCACAGCATGTTTTCCCAACCACACAAAGCCCAGAACAGATGAGAAATCTTCAAGCTCTGAGGCAGAATGAATGTGGATTCCTTCCTAAAGGAATACCTCCAAAATAAGGGAAAACACTAATATAAAAATAAAACTAACAGCCTGTGAGAAAGCTCCCAGCCTTCCTGTATGGCAGACATAGGCAAGGGCTAGCAGAGCATTCAACAACAAAGAAGGAGGCAGAGGGCCACTCTTAGTTGGCATTTACACTTGAAAACTTTGGAGTGATTACTAAGAGCAGTCCTCCTTTTGTAAACATTTCTGTTATGCCTGCGTGGGTGTGAAGGGAAGTGCAGCTCTCAGCGTATTCCTTCACAACAGGGCATATCGTGGGTATGCTAAGAAAGCTTGGGCACAGTTCAACTGAAACAAGTCAGCAGGGCGAGGTCTAAACTAATGCACAAACAGCTCCATCCTGTTTGCACTTCCAGGTGAACCTCAACAAAGCAGGAAATACTGAGTATTGCTTGCTATTTTGTGTCTAGGCTTTACTCTCACATTTACAGTCACAGGAAATATACAGGGTTCTTGACCCTTGTCATTTCTGACTGATTGCATCAAATGGACTGTGTATATTGATGCTCAATGGATAACAAATGGTTTTTAAAATCAGTTGAAGACTGGATACACTGTATAAAGCTAAAATTAAAAAAACTCTCTAGTGACCCATTCTCCCACCAATGACATTGGCTCTCCAGCACCATGACTTCTCTTTTTTCCATTGAAATCCCCATAGAATCATACAACAGCTTGAAGATCATCTAGTTTCAACACCCCTGCCATTGGCAGGGACACCTTCCGTGTTCTGAGGTGTCAATGGAGAGAAGAATGAACTTGTAAATATCCCTGAAGAACAAGTTTTTCCATTACTTTGACACACTGATTTACTATAGAAAAAAAAATCAATTCCCCTTTTCCCAAGCTGAGTTACGTGATCAGAGCATGATCACAGGCTGGCAGCTCCTCAGTGTACCTTCTACAACACCCATGTCACATGCTCTTATTTAAACCCAGCCATCAGCTCTAGCGCTGGCTACTGCTGGCTGTATCAGTGCTACTGCCAATACTGAAAAACAAGCTGTCTGGAGCAATCTTTGGTAAACACTTAGAGCAAATATCCTCACTTCTGATCTTAACAAAGCCAAGATGACTTTCTGCATGAGTAACCCAACTATTGTTGTAACACTAAACCCCCCAGTAAAACAACAACAACAAAATACAACCTTCTTGTCTCTGACTATTTCTTAGGCATCTTTAAAAGCCCAGGGCTTGATCTGAATTACCCAGTTCTATCAATGAAGTCAAATCCGATGCAGTTACACCCCAACGTACAGAAGAGTAATTGAGACCAGATTTTGGCCAGAAGAACCTCTAAACCCATTTCTCCTTCCACCCCTCCCAGAGTCACATTCCTAAAAGGGAAAAAAAAGATAAACTGAACAACTCATGCCAGTAGGGAAACTAAATTGTAAAGGGAGGGGGGAAAGTTAGAAGAATACTTTTATAGGAGGGACACAAGCTTCACCAAATGGAAGTCCACAATGGCAACTTGCCAGTCGTCTGAAGGATGCAATCAATTTTCATAAAATACGCAAGACTGTAGCCACTCTTGTGTTCATGGCAGCA